GAAATGATTGGTGGATTTTGGACCCAAATACCCACACGTGAAAATTATCATCATTTGTTGATTTTATTTTAAAATATAATTTCTAGAGTCATGAGATTCTCACATGCGTACAAGATTTTCTAATGGAGAGTAAGGTGGCTCACCCATAAAAGGTATTTTTTATTGACCTATCGTCATTTAGTTGGATCAAAAGTCAAAAGAACTTGATTATTCCCAAAAAAAAAAAATGCAGATTTTTAAAATTACCCTCTCAATAAGGTTACATTAGCCGAAATAAGATATCAAAGTACGAATATGTCATTTTGGATAATTGAAACCTGCATTAAGGGGGTTATTTTAAAATTTGATATTCCTTTTTGGTAAAAAATAAAATTTTCGAGACATACTTTCATTTGGCAAAATACATTTTACGAAAGCTGCGAGTCACCATAATTTCCATTTGAAAAATTGAAGCTTTATACATGTTTGAAAATGTCAAATAGCTGTAGAAATGATATTTTAAAATAAAAACAGTAAATAATTATTGTTTTCGAGTACCTACGTATTTAATCTACCAATGAATTCCAAAGGGAACATTCAAGATTAGAATGTTCAAATTGAAGTAAAGAAAAAACAAAAAGCAACTGTTGGGCTTTTAAATTTAAAATGAAAAATTTTATTAAAATAGCTCAAAAATATCCCTTTTGCCATTTGATAGTCAGATTATTTCCAGTTGAACCAGAAGTGAGGCAAGATTCAACAAAAAAAAAAATTAGGGTGTTACCAAAATCACAGGTAAAAATGATAGTGGACATAATATAACTTAAAAGCAGCCAGTTGAATATTGATGAAAAATGACACACCATTTTATGTATGCTAAATACTGAACTTTTTAAAAAATTTACAAGTTTTGATAAGAGTTGAATAATAAGGAAAATGAAAAACATACATTCTATGAGTTTGAAATGAGGTAGCAAATAAATACCAAAAGTAAAGTATTTAGTTACTTTATTTTTAATGAAGAGATCGTTCAAGATATGTATTAATAATTGTTATTCCATAACTTAATTTTTAAAAAAAAAATTGAAAACAAGATAAAAACATTTAAATAATTAGAAAAATATAACCTAATTATGTATAATGTTCTATTAAGACCATCAAGAGTAGACGTGATATTTTTGTCTTTGGCTTTTCTGACTTCTCAAGAAAAAAATAGTTACATTTAGTTCTGCAGCTTTTTGAAAGACAAGAAGCAAACCAAGGATATACATTGATTATTTGTTATATTTTTTTTTTTCAAATTTGTTAATTGCATTTTGCATTGTCAATTATCCTTCAAAAAAATACAATAAAATACTTACACTTCCATGGGGGAATCAAAATATCCTTAGGCTGCAACTTATGATGTAGGTTCATGATGCTTGATGTTACTTGATGAAGCTGGCTCTTGTAAAATGATGTGTCCTGCGAGTTTGCTAATAAATCTTGCTTCACAGGATTTACGATAGTATTGAGAACAAATCAGACATCTGATTGTTATCATATAAATGTAATTTTTTCTCAACAATCAAAAAGGCAATATTTTTGTTACTCATTAAAAAGAATTATCTACACAATTAATTATAAAAAACAAACTTGAGTAAGCCAATTTTTTGGTAAAATGCCACAGCCTATCTTGCATCTGATGGCAACTTATTTTGGCTCATTTAATAAGAGATTTTGCCTGTTGCATAAAACTTTATAAAGGCAACATTTTGAAGGCCAGTAAATTAGTAGTTTGGGTTGCCTGCGGCAATTTAATGGCTTACATTAATATTCACGTTTTTGCAAGTACATATGCACGATACTTGCCTGTAAGCCCTTTAAAAATATAATTTCAGCATTATTTGATTCAACTCTCTTCAAGAAAATTAGATAATGTATTATAATAATATTGCCTTTATGATAACAAATGTTTTTAATTTATTTAAACATGAATGTATTGTCATCATTATCATTTAAAAAAATCTGTCCATGTGTGATCATGCTTATCTTATGTGTTTACAATATTAATTATAGTAATTTGAAGGTCAATCACAACAAATCAGTGATGAATTATAAAGAAAACTAGCAGAATAAGGTATAAAATGAGTATATTCCACTTACACTTGAGAACCAGTTTTTCAAGTTTTTTCTTCAAAATTTGTTGTTATGCGCAAAAAAAATAGAAGCCAATACCAATCATAAAATACACCAGTCACCAAAGTACATTATCAAAAACAAAAAAACTTAAGTAGAGTTTCCAAGTTTATGATAAAATATGTAACTATAGCAATTTATAATAGGAATGACAATTATCTAGAGTACAGCAAGTTTAGTTAAAAAAAAGTGTTTCTCAGGTGCAAGAATGGTAAAACTTGATATTTATAGAATATTAAAAACAAAGTATGTAATATGTTAAGTACTACATCCAGTTTACTATTGAGGGGGTATAAAAAAGTATCCTGCACAAGTAATAGAACATTAGAGAGAAAGTGGCCACTATCTTTCCAAGATTCTACAATGATACCAACCAAAACTGGTTATCAGAAAACTTTGTTTACCCCCAACAATTTTACCCTCTACACATCTGCCTCCACATTTTCTCTCCCTACCCATATTCCTTTTTCAAAATTCCCCTCCCCCATATTTTCCCACCAAAGTATAAATAAAAAAATTATGTTGGTCGAGTGTTTTGATCAAAGAATGCCCAATTTATTGTTATTTTGAACTAAAACACCCACTATAATATAAATCATCACTCGTCTAAAAAAATGGCATTCCATTGATGGAAACACATACCATGCAGATATGCATGTTATGTTATGTATCCAACAATGAACTCCCATGTTTTCTATGATATTACCCAAGTTCAAGCAACTTGATTGCTGTTTCAATATGTATTGTTGTAAAGTATTAGACCCCCCAAGTAAAGTCAGAATAGTTCTACTTTAGTCAGTGTCATCAGTGATAGTCAGAACAGAACCAGAATAGCAAAGCAGTAAACAAGTAGCTATGCATTGCAAACTCCAGTTTTGTAGTAAGTTTTTTCAACAAAAATTGAAAAACACCCTAAGGAAGTATTAAAAAATATATGTAAATACCTAAATAATAAATAAAGTATCTTTGGTATGGATATAACAACGTTTGGCAAGTTACCTGGCCTGGCCGTCATTAAAACACACACAGAAATGGAAGTAAAAACACAAAGGCAATTTTGAAAACATGTTTTTGGAAAAGACCAAAAACAATAATTTCTTGCCCAATGTTATTTTTATGCCTCTAATCCTAATGGAGCATTTTAGTAGTTATTGGTTATTGAAAGGACAATAACTAATAACAATTATTGCCACTATGATTTTTTTGTTTGGGGCATAATTAAAATTTGGTACTAGAACAAAATTGTTCAAGTAGCCATTAAAACAAATTGTAGCAAACAAATATTCTGATAAGGCAATTACCATCAGAAACAGTAAAAGAAACTCTTGTAAAAATTCACAGAAGGCACAAATAAGTAAATGAATGCACTTGAAAAAATATCCAAATGCAATAAGTTAAATATACACAACACTAATATTGTAACTACTTTCCTTGTATAATCACAAACAAAAATAATGCACTACCTTACTTGACTAATAATGCTTTGATTAAAATTGAAATAATATGCTACTTTTCGCGACATAATTTTTCAAAGGTTATGTTGAGTAATTTGAGGATTACCCAACATAATCGAACATAATCTTTTGGAAAATTATGTCGCGAAAAATTGCCTAATGATGTCAAGTAAAATAATGCAACCTATGCGAAATGTAACTGTAACAACTAATCATACTTCAGAAGCAAAATTAAATTATACTAAATAAAATAAACTAAAGCACTTTTAAGTTTCTAAATATATGGTAACACATTAATTTGAATGTTATAAAAATTGTATACCTACCTATATAAAAATCAGCATATTATTGAAAAATCCCAAGCATTCTGAAATTATTTTTTTATTCACAAAGTTGTTTAGGTTTACTTGTATTGTAAATCAGGATCATTTAAATCAAGTTTATGTTTTTTCTTAGAAGAGTGATTCTACCAAAACATCTTATAATTTGATGGCAAATAGGCAGACAGATTTCTTTCTATCAAGTTTTACATCAAAATTCCACAAGACAGATTTTTGATTATGGCCAAGTTTCCACACTTTATTTAAATCGACAATCTTTGAATGCACTGAACAAAAGTGTGCACATTAGAAACTCTATTTTGGAGTTAGCCAACTTGTGTATTAGCAGTATAATACATGTTAAAAAAGTAGACGATAATCAATAATTGTGGCTGCACCACTATATTGTTATTCCACATTGCTAAAGATAAAAATCTGAAGTTTGGCTTCACCACTGAATCAGTATGTCCATAAATTATATTGGCGGAACCATAAAAATTGTCAGTGCAATGCTAATGAATCATAAATAAGCAACATTATCAAGTGATAATTTCAGAATGCTTTCTAGATATAAGTGAAATGTGAATAAAGAAAAGTTAATATAATGGACATAATGGAAGAACGCCTCAGCGAATGTTGCCTTTTGTGTATTGTTTTTGTATTATATTTATTATATATTATATTCAAAAATCTGTTTTGAGGTACCATCACCGATTTGATCAAGATAAACTGCTTCTCAAAGAACAAAAGACCTAACTTTCAAAGAAAAATATATCACCAGATAAAGATGAACCCTAAACAAAATAAATTAGGAATGCTCCATAAAAATTCAAATCCGTTCATTATGAAGCATAATAAAGGGATTGAAATTTTTTAGAAGAAGTAATATAATCATTTAGCTAGCTTGGATAAAGTACCAATCCAACTAAACGATTATAAAACAGTTCCAGTTCAAAGATTTGCCTATCAATTGAATAAATCGAGTACAGAAATTCATTTAAATACAAATGTGTTACCATACCAGTTACATAGCACATAGGTTTACAAATAAAAGCAATGAACCACCTACCTTGTCCTTCGCCTGCTCCGTCGGTACTGGTTCCAGCTTGGGGTTCTTCACCTTCCATCATAGAATAATCCTCATTGTCGTCAACTGTAGTATCGTCAAGTGTTTCATCGCCAAAGGTTTCATCGCCATCGTCAGGAATAGTTACAGATTGGCTCGGATCAAATGGTTCAACTTTAAATTGCGAAGGTTCAATTGCGGGTTCAGTTTTGGTAATAGGAGCGGGGGCCGGTTGATCATTGGAAGATAGACTTAATCGCGGTTTTTTGACAGCAGGAGTTGTGGTTACTATGGGGGCTGGGTGTGCTTTTTTTGGTCTGGCAATAGGTTTGTAAGGTTCTTCGGCTTGTCTTTCTGGCTTCTCTTGAGTTGGTTCAGAGTCGGCATCAGTACCCTGGAAAAAAAAAATAAGAAAATTTAAAAAACTTCATTAAAGATAATACTTGTACAAGTGAAAAATTAGGCCAGTGTGTAAATCAAATCAAATCAAACCATGGAATTGATAATTTAATTAATTTAATTTATTCAGGTATTTGATTACAAATAAATCATTCCCAGCCTCAAGGTGCATAACGATCAAAATTGAAATTAAAATTAAATAATCCCAAACTATACCTAGTACTACAAACACTGCAATAGACAGTCATTAAAATTTGTTATACAACATAAATCATAAACAAAAAATAAAACTGTACATTTAAAATTTGTCACGCTTACAAGTTTATATCTTGTATATTGCATTCACAAAAGTTACATTAAAATCAATGTTTATCCATATGCACTTTGTTTGGATGTTGGATAAATACTTCAAATTGATTCATGTTTAAATTTAGATAGATAGATATAGATAGAGCAGTATTTCAACTCCTTTTCCAACCTCTATGGTAAATCCCATTGACTCAAACCTCAAACCCCATCAAAATTTGGAAAACTACCCTTAACAAATAAAAATGCCTAAATATTGAGACTTTCGTATTTGTTTACAACTCGGACTTCCAATCTTGCCATTAAATTAATAGGGTACTAGTTCTAACACCATTTCCAACCTCTATGCAGAATCCCATTGACTTAAACTCCGTCGAAACATGAAAAACTACCCTTAACAAGTAAAAATGCATAAATACTTATATTCTGTTCACAATCCGATGTTCACAGGTGCAGGTAAATTTTTCACCTTTCCCTATCAAATAGCAATGAAAGGTGATAAATTTTTCTGTATTTTTTTCCAACTTGGACTTCGAGTCTTGCCAAGAAATTAATAGAGTACTATTTCAACATCATTTCTAACCCCCATGTAAAATCCCATTGATTCAAACCCCGTTGAAGTATGAAAAACTACCCTTAACAAATAAACTGCTTAAATATTGAGATTTTCGTATTTTTTTCCAACTCGGACTTTGAGTCTTGCCCTGAAATTAATAGGAAACTATTATAACACCATTTCCCAAGCCTATGCAAAATCCCATTGATTCAAACCCCGTCGAAATACGAAAAACTACCCTTAACAAATAAAAATGCCTCAATATCAAGTTTTTCGTATTTTTTCGCAATTCGAACTTGGGAAGTCCGAGTTGGAAAAAAATACGAAAATCTAAATATTTATGCATTCTACTTGTTAAGGGTAGTATTTCATATTTCTATGAGGTTTGAGTCAATGGAATTTTGCATGGGGGTTGGAAATGCTGTTAGAATACTAGTTAGTGCCCTATTAATTTCATGGCAAGACTCGAAGTCCAAGTTGGAAAAAAATACAAAAAACTGAATATGTATGCATTTTTCCTTTTTAATATAGGGTGGTTTTTTCGAATTTCGACAGGGTTCGAATCAATGGGATTTTGTTTGGGGGTAAGAAATGCTGTTAGAATACTACCCTATTAATTTCATGAAAAGATTCGAAGTCTGAGTTGGAAAAAAAATATGAAAATCTAAATATTTATGCATTTTTACTTGTTAAGGGTAGTTTTTCGTATTTTGATGGCGTTCGAGTTAATGGAATTTTGCATGAGGGTTGGAAATGCTGTTAAAATACTACCCTATTAATTTCATGGCAAGACTCCAAGTCAGACTTAGAAAAAAATATGAAAATCTGAATATGTATGCATTTTTACTTGTTAAGGGTAGTTCTTCATATTTCGACGGGGTTTGAGTCAGTGGGGTTTTGCATAGGGGTTAGAAATGCTATTAGAATAGTAACCTATTATTTCATGAAAAGACTCGAAGTCTGAGTTGGAAAAAAATACAAAAATCTGAATATTTATGCATTTTTACTTAAGGTTAGATAGTTTTTCATATTTCGAAAGGGTTTGAGTCAATGGAATTTTGTGTAGAAGTTGGAAATGCTGGTAGAATAGTACCCTATTAACAAAGTCCAAGTTGGCAAAAAAATATGAAAATCTCAATATTTTTATCCAATTTAAAAAAATAAATAAAAACTACCCTTAAGAAATGTTAAGGGTAGTTTATCTTATTTTTATGTGGTTTGAGTCAAAAGGATTTTGCATAGGGTTTGGAAAAGGTGTTGTGTTCAAACAGTCATCTCTCTAGTTTATCAATTTCCTGGCTTGAGTCTAAGGGCAGGTATTATAAAACTATGTATATTGACAGATAGCAAAAGGTTAACTTGTGGAAGTACCATGGAAAGTAACGTCATTCCAGAAGTTAACTGTCAAAATGGTTTTATAATACCTACCCTAAGGGCAAAAACTGGTAAGTTTCTGGTTGTTACCTAGCAGGTACAGGGTCAATTTTCATATTCTCCCACCTCTCTTTACTTTTTTGTGCCACCGTGTATAAAAAAAAATGTAAATAGGAGAGGTGTAGTTCCTGAAAAATAGTTCTCAGAAAACATAGTTTTCTTCATATAAGGTGTTGCAAAAAGTTTAAAAAACATAAAGCTATATTTTTTTCCAATGGGACATCCTGTATATTATGACATTTCTGGATTCTTCAGAAAATTCTAGACAATTTTCATGTATAATGGTCATATACCTATCTTGAACTGTTTGGGAAATAATGACAGTAGAAAATTGACTTTTTTGCAACTTTGATAGGCTGTAAAACCTAAACTGCTAATTTTACAGCAAAACCGATTTTACATTCTTGTCCACAGCTTTTCATAAGCTAGCATTTGACACCAACTTTGAATTTAACCGGAGATTAAATTTAATTGGAATTTTCAATCATGGATTAAATTCAAAGTTGGTGTCAAATGTTATTTTATAAAAAAAAAGGAAAAGCATGTATGATCAGTTTTGCTGTAAAATCAACCGTTTAGGTTTTACAGTCTATCAAAGATGTAAAAACTCAATTTTCTGCTGTCATTATTTTCGAAACAGTCGAAGATATATGACATTATACATGAAATATGTCTAGAATTTTGCGCAGAATCCAGAAATGTCGTGATATACAGGGCTTCCCATTTAAAAAAATATTTTTATTTTTATTTTTTAAACTTTTGCTCTAAGAACGATTTTTCAAGCACTAAAACTTTCCTATTTAAATTTTTTTTATACACAGTTGCACAAAACAGTTAAGGGGGGGTGGGAAAATATAAAAAATGACCCTGTACTTTCAATTTTCTAATGCACAGAAAGTACCTGCTAGGTAGCAACCAAACGTTTACCAGTCAGTCCATAATTTGGCCCTAAGTGTGATTTATTGAAATTATTTTGAATTAAAAAAAAAATGCTACACTAATGATCATTCGGATGTTTCTGTCAAATTAGCTGCCAAGTTCTGGCTGCTAACTACACAATGGTGTATTTATGAACATTATTTTTACCAAGTATTATAAATGCCTATGAGGTATCCGATTTATTCAAAAAGTTAGGTGGTTGAGTAATTCAATAATTTTTGTTGATAACAGGACAGTATCAACTTTTTTCAAAAATTAATTTCTGACGTCAGAACAATGGAAAATGAAAACATGTAATATGTCATTTTTCTTAGAAAAAAAAAGGTTATTCAGATAATGAAAAAAGAAACCAGGTCAGCATTTAGAAAAAATGATGATTGCCACAAAACGAGGAGTCAGTTTAAAAATTTGATGTCATCTTATAGGAGGAAAAAAAGTGGCTATGATGATGGGGCATTTTATTTGAAATACTAACAGCAATTTCCATTTGTCGAGCCAGTGCAAAAAAAAAATTATTATTTCTTATCCTTACATGTTATATGCTTTTAGAAAAAGATGCGGATACACTCAGTGCGCACTGACTGACAAATGGAAATTGCCATAAGTAATAATGTAAAAAGTCAGGAAAAAATAGAAACAATTTTGCAAAATATAGGTTTTTTCCAGACAAAAGTATTTGGAATATAAAAGCGACATTTTGTCAAGCATAAAATCAGACAACTTTGTCTGAATTCAACCAACCCTGTATCTCTCACCATTTATGAGATCCCAATAATGTGGCTCGAACTTGAAACACCCTGTACAACATATAAGAATCATTCTAGTTATATTATAGAATCGTGCTGCAGCCACAAAGCAGAAACAGCCGTTGGTTGTTTGATTGCAATGTTGCCAGATGTGACTAAATAAACAAACCCAACCAAGGAACACCTGCCGAGGCTGACTCACTGATGTTTATGTTAAAGTTTGCTTTTTGTGAAAATTGTTGCAATGGATAAGGATATAAGTAAAGAACTGCATTTGTAAATTTTATTGGACTTGTGAGTTCCCTATTGACAGGTATTTTAAAAGAATTGTAATGTCAAAGAAGGTAGCCATCATGGAACATGGAAGTATGGCTTTTGCGGGAAATTTTTTATTTGAAAATTTGTATAATTTTTTGTGTAACAAGGGCAGTTTAATAAAAACTGGTCATATAAATATTGTGCAGTATAGTAGTACTATCAATTTGAAAAAACAATAAAAATTCATTTGCAAGTTCACTACTCTGCCTGAAAATTCCTAACAAAAACGAAACTTAAAACTGGACAACTCTGCAAACCAAATTTATCATACAAAGCGGAATAACTGGAATATGAAAAAAATATCTCCAGCTCACTGCAAAATGCAGTCGATGAGAATGGAACAGAATGCGCCAAGCCTGAAGCCAAGCTTCATCGATTGGCCGGCAAATGCAAGATGCAAGTGCTTGGCAGACATTAATAATTTGGCGCGCAGATTGTGGTACCAGGTAGCGGTAGCGATGAGTCATCCAACCCAAACAAGCCGAAAAAAACTTTAGTAAATTTCTTAATAAATGCAACAAAAAACATAAATAAATAGAGATCAAGATTTTTAAATACTTACATTTCCGTCTCCGGTGAGGCCTTTGATTTGCAAGGCCTCTGCAGTCTTAATGAAGGTAGTTAAATTATCCTGACTAACTTGTACCTCTCCTTGGTACATGAACTGTAGCAGATCACTAATGGCTACATAACTAACATCTTTCAAGAACACGATCGGATGCTGGCACGGATTCGTCTTGAAGAGCTCCTTGAAATAGGGACTGCAAACCGAGAGAACCATTTGGTGCGCTTTGAAGAACTTGCCTTCGACGGCCAGAGTAACGTCGACCAAATCCTCGTTTTCCAACAAGGCATTCAAGCCGGAGCTCATATTTTTGTGGAAATTGTCCCAACATAATGAAAACTGTTCCGACGCCATGGTCGGCACTCTGAAAAATAAAACAAAAACAATTTATTACATGCAAGGCAATTTACAAAGGGACGCCATCATCACGCCGCCATTATGGCCGGCGACCATAAAGAGACGCCAACAGTGTACCCAGTAGAAATACTACAAGTGAATGAAGAATTTACCTTAATTTATGCTCCACTTATACAGAAACTGTTTTTACACACTTTGTTCCAATAATGGTGAATTAATTTTCACTTTTAATCACTTTTTTTGCAAATTTACCACGCACCGTAAAATGGCCACCAACTTCATGAACTGCTCGAGGAGAAGTAAAGTAGTAAAGGCAAAGTGGAGGGAGAATGGCTGAAGGAAGCTAGCCAAGCCACGCCAAGGGAATTATGGGAAAAAGTACGCTTCGCGCGTAGTAAGCGGAAGCCGTATGGCGCCCTCTATTGTATATATTTCTCTTTCAAATTAATACCACCATAGGTTTATTTTTCTGGAACTGATGTGGTGATTGAGAAGAATGCAACTATAAAGAATTTGAAAAAAAATGTCTGGGACTGGAAGTCTTGAAGAACAAAGCACAATCTTTGTGAAAAGAGATCGCGGATGAAGCCATTTTGGCGCCAAGCCAAAAGGGAACTATGGGAAAAGATACGGTAGCGTAGTAAAAGGCGTGAGCAGCCTTCGACGGCCAGAGTAACGTCGCGTGAGCAGCCAAGAGCGGAAGGCGGAAGGTATCACGGAATCGCTTGGTAATTGGTTGGTATTGGTATCGGTATCGCCCTCTATTATATGTTAGCGCTACTACTTATTCAAAATATTTGTTGAGATAAGTCAAATTACTAGAGGCCGAGTTCGTTTTTGTCATCTTTTTCGTCGATTTCCTCCGAAATTTTGACAGGCACGTGATTTGTAAGTTGAAACTGTCTTATCCAGACACGTGCCTGTCAAAATTTCGGAGCAAATCGACGAAAAAGATGACAAAAACGAACTCGGCCAGAGTAGAGGCCGTTTCGTTGTTGTACTCATTTAAATTTCGCTTTTTTAAATGTGACAACCAGCACATTATTATCGGCTTAAGGGCGGGTATTATAAAACTGCTTTTTGAAGTTAACTTCAAGTTAACTGTCAAAGCAGTTTTATAATACCCGCCCTAAGCCAATGAGACGGTGGTTGGTAGGTTCAATGACGTAATTTTATTATTTCAAAAGAAAAACTTAAAGTCTTCCTCTACAGACTACAAATACCTACTTTGATAGAATCAAAAAGCCCCACATGTTTCGAGATTAGAAAATCTCAGCATCAGCCCGGATCAGGGGAAAATTCTGCCAGATCGTGATTTTGTTTGAAATTGCTATCTTTATTTATTCATTTTTTTATCAATCTGACTGAATCTGAAGTAGGCTTGGTATCGCCCTCTATGAGATGTTGGCGCTACTAATTAAACCAATATTTATACAGAACAAGGTTTTCTTTATTTTTACCACACGAAGAAGCCACACGCGTTATCGTCTGTCTCACTTTACATGGGAGGGACCCAGAGAAAAGGAAATCTTTGTCTTCTTTGTCTTCTTTGTCTGCGCTGACGTCAATAGGCGGTTACACACGGACGTGAATGTCTGAAAACATGCACGCACATACATGAACGCGCAAACAAAAACATCAATAGTTGTATTCCATAGTTGTATTCCTTTCAAAAGTTTGAAACACTCGAGCTACTCGCTCCGGTGTTCAGTCGCCCCCGATTTGCAGGGAACAGATGCGTGGTGCAACAAACACTTTTCGAAAGGAATAAGCGCGTGAAGCCCCAGAGCTGTTCCGGAACTCCTCCTAGGTGAGAGAGGAATACAACTAATAGAAAGTTCTCGTGCCTAACACGTTACGCTAATACGGTACCGCTAACAATACGGTATTTCACATGGTATTTTAGAGTTCTCGGACACGAACACACATAAATCCTCTAATCCCTTAGGACGGGTATTATAAAACTACTTTGAGAGTTAACTTAAAGTTAACTTCTAGAATTACATGTAATCCCAAGGACTATCCAAAACACGTGACACAAATATGGCCGACAAGAGGCACACAAACATTTGACACAAACACAAACCATAACGTCATTAGGTTATGTCATTAATGATCACAATCAAATACTCATTTTCTATTGTGTGCGTCTCAATTTTTGGCCGTTTCTACCCAATTACGGAATCCCTATTGTTTGGGCAAGATTGTTCTACCTTCATTTCACTTGGACACCTAGGACCTACCCTTAAAATGTGAAAATATTTATTTGTTGCAACTCCACCGTCCAGTGTTGTGCTACCTACTTCAAATAATGGATACAGGAGCATCTACAGAAAGACGATGAAACAGGCAAGGAAGATTTATTACAATGAGAGGTTGGGCATCCGCATCCAATAAACAAAAAGAGTAACGACCTACGCGAAAAAAAAAAAATAAGAAATATACATATGTGCTTCCAATTTGAAAGCAGATAATATTAATTCATACTACTGTACGATTGCTCAGAAACTGAGTATCAAAAATAGAAAATCTTCTGGATGGGACGATATCTCAGTTAGGCTGTTGATGTGTTGGCGGATTCCATTATTAATTCTTTTCTTACCGGAAGTTTTCCCTCATTTTTGAAGCAATCTTGGGTAGTACCTTTGTTTAATAGGGGGGTGATAAGAATTTACCATCTTATTACCGGCCAATATCCTTACTGCCAACTTTGAATAAAATTTTAGAGTGGCTAATTAAGGTGGATGGTGAGCTCCCTTGATAGGCATAAATTGCTTTCTCTGTCTCTGTTTCAGCAGTCAAAAAACACTGATGATACCATATTTCATCTCCTGGATGAGCTGTATTAGAAGATAAATGACGAAGAAGTGGCCGCGGTAGTTTTTTGTGACCTGAAAAAAGCTTTCGATTGTGTCTGTCATGAAGTACTGCTTCTAGGGGTTCAGTACTTCAGAGGGGTTGGATATCACTGCAAGAGTGCCCTAGGGATCTGTTTTATTTCTAACATTAATAAAAATACGAGTAGAAAGAACGAGTATCAAAACGCAAATGAACAATGAGCACTATTTTTTTGAAAAAAATTTCATGACACATTGAATGACAAATAAAAAAAGGGTTTGATTCTTGGGGTTGTGTGCCTCTTGGCGGCCATTTTAATTCAAGTTTGACAGCATCTTGGATAGTTCAATTCAAAAAGTTAACTTCAAGTTATCTGTCAAAGCAGTTTTATAATACCCGCCCTTATTCTGTTTACATTTTGACAGCTGATTTGAGTGATCTAACCCAACCTTTTTTTTCGCTTGTTTTTTGTTTTTTAACTTTTATTTATCCTGAAGATTTCTGAATTTGATTAATGTTCCCTTGGTGTTTTTTATGGAATAATTATTAGAAGTTGCTGTTTTCGGACATACATCGAGCGTAAACTAGTTTTGACATAGCATAGCGTTACGGACGTTACGGTAAGGTATCCGCTAAATTCCGCTAACGCTAATACCGTGTCCGTAAGAACTGTCATACGTACTTGTCGAATAACGTTACGGTATTTGAAATTTGGACGGCACGAGAACTCTCCAATGTGTATGCAAAATACCGTCACGTTTTTGAATGTGCAAACTGTAGTATGACACTCAAATGAATTCTGGAATCGCTAGAAATTTTGTATGCACACTCAGCAAGAGTAGCAAGACTGACAGTTTTGTGCGAGCGTCTGTACAAAAGTGACATGCATGTTGTTGTTTGCACGTTTGCACGTTGATGTATATGCACGTATATGTATAAAGCCATCCACGTCTGTGTAACCGCCTTATGGCTTCACGTTTAATTTTTACTCTATGACGGTAGTGTAAAGTGGAGTGGCTAAATAAACCTACATACATTGGCGACAATAGAGGTCCCAACACCATTCTGTTCCCAAACTCTTGTTACTTTTAAATATTAATTTATAGGATTTAAATGGACATCTATCATGAAAAATTGAAATCGACGTTCAAATCAAATCAAATACGTTGTTTTCCATGTTTTATGATGGATGTTCACATTGTTCACCCAAATCCCCAGGGCCGGATTAAGGGGGGGCTTTGGGGGCTAAAGCCCCGGGCCCCGAAATGAGGGGGGGGCCTAAAACACCACGCACGGGGAAGAAATCATGCATATAATTTTACAATTTCGATTTCGCCATCTATTATCTATCAATTATATCAAACACAACACTACCCTATAATATGAATTATTATTGTGTAGCTGGTATAATTATTGATAGATGGCGCACTATCCGGCGCATAAAAGCTACAACGACTTTATACAAAACAGTGGCGACAATATAGGAACCTTGATAGGGTCCACCCAAGGGCCCACCCGCCATGTTTTGTTAAAATAAAATTGCATAAAACTTCATAGGATTAAATGATAAAAACAAATTCCTTTTGTCAAAACATGGCGGATGAACTACGTAATTCTGAGAATCAATCAAAAATGAGATAACCCACTGTCGCCACTGTCTTGTCTAAAGTCACTGTAATAAATGCACCTGCAAGGTAAAGTTTTGTTTGAGTGACGTTTGAATTTATTTCAAGGACCTAAGGGCCCCTTTTGTGAAAATAGCCCCGGGCCCCAAAAGACCTTAATCCGACTCTGCAAATCCCATATATTCATATTTGAAATTAGCAATAGGTGGCAACAAGATGGCCGCGTTTCCAATATAAATACAGGGTGAATCCGAAAGTGAGGCTTTTTTTCAACAGGATGTATATCTCACCAAAATAAGTTGTTTGATGGAAAATTGTTTACATAAAAAATATAAGATAACGGAGGTACAGGATTTTGAGGTTAAAGAAGACTTCCACTATAAATCATTTTTTTTACTACTAACCTGAGAAATAGACATTATTCAATCTATTTTTCTAAGAAAAAATTGAATTTCTCTCCCTAGGTTAATAATGAAAATAATGAAA